GAAATCGCACCTATGGTTCACCAAAACAAAATTGGGTAAGGTTATGTATGTAGAAATTTCAACAGCATAACGATTGTAAATGAAACATAACCAATGACTGTTGTTAACAATTAAAGCATTCTAATAATACCAATGGTAGTCACATTCTCAACCTATTTACTTAGCCTAACGTCTTCCCAACAATGGCAGCCCAAACTAATAGCATCATTATGTTTATTAAAATATATTACCTTAAACCTACCGAACGTATCTATTAACCAAAGTAATGGTTTTAGAAAACTTACATGATACCTAGCAGCTTTGGGTAACTAAACTGAGGAGGATCGGTAGGCGGGTCGGACGAACCTTGATCGAACTTCCGGTTCGTGCAGTGAGTGCGCTCAAACACCTCAGTAGCAGTTGGCTCACGACCCATTACTTTTGCCTACATTAGACAATTAGGTTAAGTTGTTAGTAAACATAAAGAACGAATTACATTTTCAAAAAAGATTATATACTCACCATCCTGTCTTGATGTTGTGCAGTACTGATCGATCCCCCAGTGTGTCTGGACGACACCCCCTCAAACTGTGTGTTCCGATTGGACCTATTGATCCTGGATTTCCTTTTCCAAGTCTCGGTATCCCAAACCGGTTAAAAACAGAGCACATATATAAGGCGGTACAAAACACATGGCAGTTCGAAAAGCTCACAATAAAGATACATACCTGGTCAATCATCTGAAGCCAAAACCTGTCTGGTATCCATACAGGATGGTGTAATCTAATCTGTGAGAAGTCCTCACCATCCCATTGCTGATCACCAGGATAGGGATGGTGAAGGAATCTGTTTATTGACAATTCCCTCGCTGATCAACGAGGGATCAGCCAGGGAGTTGTCCTATTTTCTTATTTTTTATGTGTTATATGTATACATTTTTATATATAGGTATCGTATATATACATGTTCGGTTTTATTGAGCCTTAATCCGCTTTATTTGACTTTATTCGGTTTTATTGGGCCTAATGGGCTTTATTCGGTTTATTAGGTCTTAACCCATTTTATTGGGATTTGTTCAGTTTTATTGGCTTTAATCCATTTACCGGACTTTAATGAATTTATCGGGCCTTAATGAGTTTTATTTAGTTTTATTGGACTTTATTCGGCGCTCCCTGATCTGCAAGGGATTTTTTCCCTCGCTGATACCTGGTTTTCTAGTAGTGCAACCAAGACAAACCAAAGATGATTGGAAGGTTTGTATCCCCGACGGTGATTAGGGAAGGAGCGATAACATGTTTTAAAGGGTGTGGAACGATGAAGTTACGTATTTTCAGGGGGGATTGGACCAACATTAATGTATATATGATATATATATAGAGTGGGGATCATTTGCAAACTACCCTGTTGCTACAAACTTTGCAAATCACTTTGATTCGGAAAAACGATATAGAGTCCATATAGAACTTTGTTAAGCTTTCTAGTTCTTTCTAGCTCTGGTAACAATAGGTTAGTACTTTGGCGGAAAACAATGTAATATTATATATGATACAATGTACAGAAAAACAAATAATATGCATTATATATGATACAATGTACAGGAAAATGAATACAAATTTAATTATTTAAAAAAAAATTAAAATTACCGACGGATTTCAGTCGATAAATATTTTTTCTTTCTTTTGGCCGTTTGTAATTTGTCGACAAAAGCCGTCGGTAATGGGGTCCATCGGTGATTTGATCCTTTGGTAAATGTGTCCATCTGTGATCCATTGCTAATATCAATGGTGATCAGTCGGTAATACCTTTTCCCATGACATTTTTACCGATGGACTTTTACCGACGAATCCGACTTTTAGCAACAGATTACTGAGTTATTTTATTAGTCTTTTTAGAAAACCGGTCAAGTGTAATATGAAAAAAATGCCTCTCACATAAAAAGCATATRGTGTTAGTATATCAGCCCTTAAGTCTTAACGAGAGGGAATCCAACACTAAAACAAAATCAACTTTTTAGGACGTCAATAATGTCATAATTGATTGTTTCGTAGTACTTCAGTTTATAGAGTTAAACAATATTTGTACGTTCCTTTTAATGTGTTGATATAATAATACTGGATGGCTTATCAAGTCTTTTAGCAATGTTTTGAAACAAGGTGTCTTGTTATTTTTTATGTGACATTATTTAAATACGTCTTATAAAAACAATTGTTTTATGCAAGATGTGTTTAGATGACACTTTCTAAAAAATGTGCTATRAAGAACCAAATAAAACAATTTATTTAAAAAATGTTGTAACATTCGATATCGTGTAAAAATTGATATTGTAAGAATACGAACGGTTTAAAATATGAATCTGCTTAAATATAAAAAACAAACATAGTTTAAATTATTGATTGAAAATAAACAATTATACAATAGAAATTACTTTTATAATCAAACTCAAATTACTACAAGGTGAGTTTGTAATCGGGTGGAAACAC